CCACCTTTCATGGTCGGCAGGGTATGAATGGATGAATGACCACATAAATCTCACACATCAGTAAGATTCACATCTTCATCTTAACTTCAATGTTAAAGAGACACTTATATTTACAAACCTATATCTTGTGCTTTCCCTCTAGGTTCCCTGGCGGCATAGCAAAACTAGCACGGTATATCCATGACCGTGGATTGAAGCTGGGCATCTACGCAGACATGGGAACTCACACATGTATGGGATTCCCTGGCACCACACTGGATAAAATCGAGATCGATGCCCAGACCTTTGCTAGCTGGGGGGTAGACTATCTGAAGTTTGATGGCTGTTATTCAAATCCCATAGAACAAATGCTGGGTAAGAGCACATTAACCAACTAAATTACATTGGATGAAAGCTGAAAATAAAATATTTAGTATAATGAGCCAAAAGCAATAGGTAATTAGCTTTATGAAGTGTTTTTTTGTGTCACACAGGTTACCCTCTAATGTCCAAGGCTTTGAATGCTACAGGCAGACCCATGGTCTACTCCTGTAGTTGGCCTGTCTATGTTGGAGGCCTTCCCCCTAATGTGAGTGTCATCCCCCCACCAGCTGATTAGTCACTGGGACGTGGATGTATTACGGCGCGGGTCCTCAACCGTTTTTGCCTCACTGACTGTTTTCATGTTAGACAATATTTCGCAGAGTGGTCTTGAGGGTGTGGCGGGGGGTTAGTAGGGTTAGTTGTTAGTAGTCGCTGCGGACGGGGTCGCTCGCTCTCTGTCCATTCACCAGGATATACACACATATGTAAATAGCTTTGTTCGCAGCTTTGATTTCTTTTTCCCTGGCCCTACCAGGTGAACTACTCTCTCCTTGGTGATATCTGTCACTTGTGGAGGAATTACTACGATATCCAGGATTCGTGGGACAGCGTGCAAGGCATTGTTGAGTGGTTCTCCAACAACCAGGATGATTTGCAGCCAGCCGCGGGGCCCGGACGATGGAATGACCCAGACATGGTATAATGGATGAGTCTTCATTGTTTATCCTGTATCATAGGACATAGCACAACCAGTCATAGATGCAATCACCCCCACAACTGCTGTCTCTCAAAGTGTGTTTACATCAAAGGTTTCCTTATTCCATAGCAAATACGTTTTCTTTACTTCTATTTTTCTCTATGTGTTTTGTTGGTGTCCTCCTGTCTGTTGAATTACTTTTATACAGAAGTCACATGACTTCCAGGTAGCTTATTTATTGGACAGAGTTTAGCAAAAGTCATCCTTTCCCAGTGACAATAGCCACACAGCTTTGACTTTGAGCTGACAGTAGGGTCCAAGCGCTCCGAGAGGGCCTCCGTGTCTATCAATCTCCATTCTCCAAACGCATTTTGACGATAGACAAGCCTGTCGGGCAAAGGGCTATATTTCGGGGGTTTCCGGTGTCAAATATAATTATGGTGCTTTTCAGAAATGCTGGGTGAGTCTGAAAGAAACTGTATTACGTCCTGGTGACAAAAAGGAAAACAAGGCTTTTCCAAAACTGTGGTGTTTGCTTTTAAACGTGCCATTGGGCAGTAATGTGAGGGAGCCCCTTATTATACCCATGTATTATCAAAAATGTATGACGGAGATTATTTAATGTGCAATTTATAGCTACAAATGGCATGTCTCTTAAGGATCTGTCATATCACCTAAATCATTGCTAAAAATGGTTTGGAAAAGGACATATAGAAAAGTGTGCGAGTCGTATTGTACATTTAGTCATTATGCCTTTACACTTGATATCACTCCACAGCTCATCATTGGAAACTTTGGTCTTAGTGTGGACCAGGCTCGCTCTCAGATGGCTCTGTGGGCTATAATGGCTGCACCCCTCATCATGTCAAATGACCTCCGAAACCTGGACAACAGTGCAAGGGCCATCCTGCAAAACAAAGTGGCCATTGCCATAAACCAGGACCCCATGGGAATCCAGGGAAGACGCCTGTTACAGGTTACTGCATCACTATTGGGACATCATTTTTGATACATTGAACCAACAAGGCTGGGAAATAATACACAACAATACACTGATGTCATTGTCAACAGTGAGTCACAGTGTAGAAAAAGAAACAGGCCCTTATTTGTTATGAGGTGTGTGTGCATGTGTGTGAGACTGTGTTTTGTTGCACAGGAGAAGAATCGTATCGAGGTTTACTGGAGGCCTCTGTCTAACTCAGCCAGTGCCCTTGTGTTCCTGAGTCGACGGACAGACATGCCCTACCTCTACCACACTTCTCTGGCTAAACTCAAATACCAAGCTGGCACCTATGAGGTTGGTTTTGCCTCTACGTCCTACCTTGTGTATCACATCTCTATCCAAATGTTAGTTCATTAATGGATTAGTTTTCCCACGAAATCTCAACATTTTAGTAAACAATTACTGATTAACGTTCAGTGGTGGGAAGACTAGAAAAGCGCTATTTAAGTTTGGTCTCTTTACCGTTTACCATTCATCAAGAAAAAAATGTAGTACCGTCTGGTTATAGCTTCTCCAAAGAATTACTGCTCGATTCTTGATATTTTATAGACTATCCAATAAATGTATTTTTTTTACACAGGATACAATGTTTCTATATCCACATGTAAAGCAGCACAAGAAATAGACCAAAGTAATGGCAAAAAAATCAAGATGAGAAAACTATACTGTTTACATTCATGCACACAACATACTATAATGTATGTGCCAAGCCCAGTGGCCCTGCAGCTTTTGACTTTGCCATGCTTAGTTCTGACAACTCAAATTGATAAATATACTAAATAAAACTAAATTAAAAATAAGATATCTTTCTTACAAAAATGTCTCTTGACCGCAGAATCATATATACACTCATATATACTCTATCATTTATTTTTTTCAAGCTTCTTCTCTAACAGGGAAAATTCCCCACCAGTCCTATAAAGTACTTTTTCTATTTCTAAATCCACAGTAGTTCAAAATTGATTTGGGAAAATGTGGCTAAAATCATTAAATGTGAATCACCTTTGCAGTCTTTGATATGTTATTCTGTTGCTTTTAGGCAAATGATGTGTTTACTGGCTCAGCTGTGAGAGGGTTGAACGCCACCTCAGAGTTCACGATCTCCATCAATCCCTCGGGTGTCGTTATGTGGTACGTCTACCCAGAACAACAGTCCAAACTGACGGAATCTCTCCACCACAGGCACAAGACATTCCACAAAGCTAAACCTGAGCATTCTACTGTGTTATGAAGGAACCTTTGGGGAGAAAAAACAATGCTCTACTGGAATGTTTTAGAATAACTCATTGACAGGCTTAATCAAAGGCATATCAGCTTGATTTTGAACAGATGTTCTTTTGAACTGATGCAGACCAAACACAACGTTTTTCTAATTTCGTGATGCCTTTGAGGAGCCTTTTCCTTCAATAAAAATAACATTCACTAATTGTCATCCGTGTTTAAGATGTTTATTCCCTCTGTTATAATGATGGGAACTTTGGCGTGAAAATGTAAAAAGTCGTCTGAAAACAAAATACTACAGTAAAGTATAGATACCCAAAATTTCTACCTAATTAAGGTGACGAAGTATTTGTACTTCTTTACTTGACACCTCTGTTGGTCCGTTACATAAAATCCCAATGAAATACATTTGAATCTGTGGTTATACCAGGACAAAATGTAGAAAGGTCCAGTGGGGGTCAAAACTTGTGCAAGGACCTGTGCATATTTAAAAATGTACAAATATTTATAACGTTTTGAAGACCAGAGTTATTGACCCATTTAGTCCCAGGAGTAAGTAAGTAAAGAAAATGCAGGGCACATACGTTATGCTTTTGTGCACTTTTTAACATCACCACAAGTATAGAGAGTGAGAGAGAGAGTTTTTTTCAGATGTTTTAAAAAAACTGTTCTGAATTTAATAAATCCATTGTGCAATGTAATTTGATTGCATAGCTGTTCATTCACACAGTTTAGTCTGCTGGTGTAGTTGTTTTGGTGACACCAAAGAACTTGCCCGTTATGTTGCCTGAATGTAGTGAATCTAATCTTGAAATCATCATGTGATTTCAAACAGTATAGTGTTCTGTTCTATTTGGGTAAAATAAGTTTTTTTTCTGTTGCACGTAGTTTTCAGTTTTGGGTGGAGGGAATCATAGGTGCATTAATCCAAAGGGAAAGTACTGAGAAAGAAAGAGTACTGAGCATGGGTGAGAAAGCACAGGTTCGGTTACAGGTATCTTTCTTAAAGAACACAAGCCTTTTTATCAGATGTGATGGAAATACAGGGACATACAGGTTCAAGGATGCTTGTCAAAGGCTAAGACTTCTTAAGACTCTACTTGTACTACTTTAGTCTTCTAACCACTGTAACATGTTTATCACTACATGTGATCATTCACACGCATGCATACTCTGATGACAGGAGCTCCCATACACAGTGACCCCTGCTCACCAGTAAGTGACATCCACACACCACAGCCAGGGAGCTGTTTGGTGTTGTCAGTGCCCCCACACAGTATAAAATGGAGGATATAACATATTGGTGTCTTGTGTGTCAGCGATCCCCAACCTTTTTGGCCTTGCAGACCGGATTCATGTTAAACAGTATTTCCCAGAGCGGTCGTCAAGGTGTGGCTGATGAACGCGAGAAAATAAAACATACAAACTTATATGCATAGCGGGCCTGGCGCATGAGAATTACCTGACATAATAATTATTTTAAGTATGACTACTGATACTGCCTGTTAAATGAAGTTTATTTTTTTGAGTTGACTGTTTTGAGCAGACTGTTCAGAAAAAAAGTGCAGCCCGGGAACAAATGGCCCACTGACCGGTAGCGGTCCGCTGGTTGGGGTTGGTTTATTATTGGTTTATTATGAGTTTGTCTTGTTTTGTTGTTGTTTTGGAGGAACAGTTGTCAGTCTATTCTTGCATTCACCCATAAGCTGGATGCCAACCGCCCGAGAACTGGAAGGAGAAGGCCTACACTCCGCTACAACAACAGCAACACCGCATAGCGCTCATACGTCATCACAACAGGAAGTAAGTGAGCAGCAGCGCTGTCGGTGTGAACAGGCTGGAGGAGAAGGTGAGTGGACAGTGCTGCTGCCCACACCGGTTCCCTTTCTCCCAGCGCCCATGGACGACGCCCACGAACAATACAGCCCCACTAGGAACAAATAACTCAGACGGGAAAGGCTTTCCCGCCGGTTCTCATCTCGGTGGACCGGGCGCCGTACAATGGAACGAGCGATGGAACAGCTCAACGTACAGCTCAGCCGGCTAACCCGCTCCCTCCGCCGGGCCAGGACCGTGGAACTGCCAGAAGGTAACCGCATAGAACCCTTCCGCGGCCACATGACTGACAGCCACGCCGTGGTTTCATTCAGCTGGAGCAGCTTGTCTCATCATACTGTCCTTGACAGTCATGTAACGTTAGGCCATAGCTCGTGTATGCTAGCTCTCTCTCTCTTTCGCTTATGTATATTGTTCAATTCAGCGTCAAGCCGCCTCATATATGAATTAGTCCAAACGTTGAAGATTGTGTATTTATACTGAACGGATATTCTGTTGAGTCCACTCGAGTTCCGAACGTCACTTGGTGTTGATGTGTTGAAACAGGAAGGGAGCAAGTTGCCTTTCCTTTGAAATAAAGTTTGTATAAAAAACCCAACGAGCCAAATCCAGGTCTAAAGTTTTGAAACAAATGTGAACCTAAACATTCTGTTGTTGAACATTGAAAAATACAACAATATATTCAAAATAAAAATAAGTGCACTGGTCACGTCACTGGTCACAAACATGACTTGCTCTTGTCCATCTTGAGAGCTTCAGCAAGATTCTATTGTATCTGCACCACGAGTGGGCTGTCGAGTGGACTACAGTAGGCTCTAAAGAGCTGTTTTAACATCAGATGTGCACATATGGAACTTAGGTGCCAGCATATTGGCTTGTGCACAGTTTGCAATACTGGCGCTGCACATCATCATTATTGCTTGGGTCACATAATTAAGAATTACCTCAGACATTTAGGACCCAATTGTTTTTATACAAACTTTATTTATGATTTGTTATGTCAAAACAGTTTTCTATGAAATGCTATTTCTCTTTCCACAGATAATGAGACTGCAGTGTACACACTTATGCCGATGGTCATGGCTGACCAGCACAGGTGAGCCTCAGGGCAGACAGGGATGCACGAGTAGATATCAAGGCTCCATTAAGAATGCGTGTATTGTGAAATGATTCTGCTTTAGCAGGTTGTCTTTCTTCATTACAACTTGTGTTGTTTTTTACTTGTTCCATCCTCTCTCTAAAAGGTCAGTGTCTGAGTTGCTCCTCAACTCCAAGTTTGATGTAAACTATGCCTTTGGACGGGTGAAGAGAAGTCTACTACACATCGCTGCCAAGTAAGAGTTTGTTGACTCTTTAAGGGTGAGCGTACCCTTGGATTTTTAAAGCTAATCCAGCAAGAAGCTAAAATGAGAGTTACATATGTAACTACGGTTGTATGAATCCTGGATGACCGCCAGAGGCAGTGCTTAACACTGGATTATCTCGCTCTTCCGCGGGTCAAGATTTTATACCAACAAAGTCACCTGTACAAGTTACCTGTACCTCGGATGATCACCGTCGTCTCTAAATTCAGGAGACATCCTGAGATCAGTCCTAGGGAATCTTACCGCGAGTTCACTCCTGGTAGAGTGTCCCTTCACTCTGAATGGCTGCAAGCGCAAAATGAATCGATATAACAAAACAACGAGCCTCTCCTCCTGTAGAAGCGAGATAACTATTGCATGCGTTCTTGGTCATTACCATATTCGGATGACTTGCACTGATTAGAGTCAGCCAGGGTTGCCTTTGAATGAAATGAAATATATCCATTAGTAACAGTTAGTATTGGTTTTGTTCTGCTCCCACGGTCGGCCGCGCATGTGTGACGTAACGTGATTTTGTTTGTCGATGGCACTGCCTTCGCGAGCGACTGGTTGACCTCTTGGGCACCCGTGGTCTAGGCAATGGCCTCCACTACCCATTGGGACAGGCGCTGCTTTTATTTTTTATTGCAGTTTTTCAGGGGGATGGGAGAGGGCGCCCCCCTGTTATAATGGTAGGGGAAACACTGCCATGTCTTCCTGTTTAGTTTAGATGTTTAATTTGGAGATGCCGGGCATATTGTCTGCCCAAAGAATTATTTTTGTTGCCTTGCTGCCAAATTAAAAAATTCTGTGTTTCTCCTACCATTATAATGGCGGGGCAGCCCCCCTTTGAGCCAGGGTTCATTCAGTGATTGAAACTGAAAGTTTTTCAGTACCGACATTGAACACTCCGAGCGAGCTGTGCTGTAAACACAGAAGCTTTCCTTGGCATGAAACGGCAAATAATCAAACCAGTGCATGTCGTCATCTAGTCTATTTTTGTTTCATGCAATATAGTCCGTACAGGCTCGCGCACACCCACAAACCAGACAGTCGCACTGCTGCCGCTGTTTCTTTTTTATTTTATTTTTTTACATTTGAATATTAATTTTCACATTCAAATATAGAATATTCCTTGACAGCCCTAGCCCCACCCCTTTAAAAAGTGTGGAATAAATAAATAATTTGAATATTTTTTTTCCACGCACAGCGATTCCACTGCAACACACACGCCGCGCACACGTACCAGCGGACACATTTCAGTCTCTACATGGTCGCGTTTACAACTCTCCTTTGTGCTCGGCGTCGCTCACGGCGGAGTTCTGCCCCAATGGGCACTTCCACCAGCCCGTAGAGAGCGTCCCACGGTTGTCTCCAACAAGTCAGGTTTTGACCTACCTTGGCTGTCAGATGGGAAATACTCCCCATGGCTGTACAAGACTGATCTTAAGTAAGTAAATAGGTTCCAATAATTAGTAAATACAAAACATTACATAGAGAATGAAAAAGGGATTCAGGAAGGACAGACACATTGTGTCTGAGCATCACAACTGGCCTGTCTATCATGATTTGATAAGAGGCACATGTATAGACATTTTGGGGGGCGGGTGTTTAAACCAAAACATAAGGGCACCCATCGGCAATATATAATATGTTTGCGTGGGAGCTGAACCATCTGCCCGACTCTACTACCCCCTCCCGCTCCCCCTGAAGTCACAAACACTGGGCTTGGGCTTGTTTTTCAAGAAGGCTACAACTTAATTCCATTGTGCATCTGTGTGTTGCGTAATGACAACGCATTATCCTTGGACCTTTTCAATGTCTGAACCTACCAATCCGATGGAATCAATTGCTTGTAAAGTGTTTTTCAATTATGTCTTGGATCTGATGGGATTGGCCGGCAAACCTCATCCCGCCTGTGTTGCCTTGTGTTCCTTGTGCCTTGTGTTCTGTACAGCTGTGGATCAGTGGAGTGTCTGCTTCTACTGCTGAAAAGAGGAGCCAACCCAAACTACCAGGACATCTCAGGCTGCACCCCTCTGCACCTGGCTGCAAGGAACGGGTACGGGCCTCATATTACACTCAATTCTGTTTCACATGTGTGTTGAGTTCAGTTTTTATTCGAAGTGCTGTGACACGGTGCTTTTGTTTGATTTAAACATGTTTTGGTTGCTTTTATAAAGGAAATCATTTTTATTTCTTTGAGAATTGATCACTGTCAACTGTGAAAGCGTGCAAAGTTTCAGTGGCTCAGATGGGACAGAATGTACATACAACCGATGCCAGGGTTCTTCACCAGTCAAAGCTGGATGGGAGAGGGGCAAAAAGAAAGCCATTGCTGAAACATGCTGTCATGAAATATCGCCGAGCCGGAGACTTCAACGTCAATTGTAAGACGGTTCTACAAGAAGAACTACAGAAAGATTTCAGACTCCTGCAGGCTAAAAAAAGGATCAAAAAATTTGCCCAAAAAAGCCTAACTAAAGTGCCATCGTAAGGGCTGACTGACTAGTGCTGACTAGTCCGGGTAAAGTCGTTAGGTGTGTTTTAATTTGCGGTGCGCTTACTATGTTTGTTAGACTTCCAGATGTTATATGCATGTTGCAGTTCCAACATCTTAATAACTTGCAGCCAGTTTCTTCTCTCATGTCCAGTAAATACCAGCTGATCGTCATTGGACCTAAGAGAAAGTTGTGGCTGTTACATGTGTGAAAATGAGTGAGTGTGAGATAACACTGCTACTTAACACTTGCCTCCACTGTTGCCACAGGCAGAAGAAGTGCATGGGCAAACTACTGGAATATAATGCTGATGTCAACATCTGCAATAATGAGGGACTGACTGCTGTAAGTTGACTTGAACGACCTCGCTGTCATTAATGTTTTTAATCATTTTGCGTCATTGTTAATTCACATGTTGTCGCGTGGTCTCTGTGACCGTGGATGTTTGAGTCCTGTAGTCAGGAGAGTGATTGTGCACGTGAACCTCTGCTGCAGATCCATTGGTTGGCAGTGAATGGGAGGACGGAGCTCCTCTACGATCTGGTCCAGCATGTGTCCAACGTGGACGTGGAGGACGCCATGGGACAGACTGCTCTACATGTAGCCTGTCAGAACGGACACAAAACCGTGAGTCAATTTCTTATTCAAATGAATTTATTTTGTATAGCCTGAAATCATAAATGCCGAGTTGTCCTCAGAGGACTCTGCAGTCTGTACAAACACGAAACCCTCACTTCAGCACAGTGAAAACCTTTAACGGGAAGAGAAAATCACCTTAGGGAGAACGACAGAGGAGGATCCCTCTATCACATGGTTGTCAAACTCATTTTAGTTAAGGGCCACATACCGCCCACTTCCAGACCAGTAAAATCATAGCATAATAACGACAATATCTCTCTATGTTTCATCATTGACCCAATGGATGATAAACCCAATTTTGTATAATAAACTAGAAACATAAAGACCATGAAATTCAGACATCAGCCCAGCGTTTATCAGCCTGCGCTCTCCTCTACATATTCTCTGGCTTATTAGGAGAGGTCATAGACCTGAGGGGACTAAACAGTGTCCCGGTGTGTTGCCATTGCACATGTGGAGCACAGCAGACGCCTTTGCCTTCTGTCTCTGGATTTATTTATTTTTTCACAATTATCCACCGATCTCTGAGCATGGGGGAGTTCATGGGGGGCACAAACAGACACGTTGTTCAAATACCATTAGGAGCGGTGTGGCTTCTCAGGGCTTCTGTTTGGGTTTCTAGCCAAACACTGCATTTCAAAAGTAAGAAAAACAAGTTTGCTATTTCTATTTGCTTGATACTTTTGCAGTTATGTCTCAACGTAATCGTGAAAAGTAAGAGGTTGCCCTCTTGAGCTGTTTCCAAGCTGCTTGCACTGAGTGTGGTTGACAATACTTTCTGTATTCTTTTACCCCAGTACAATATGTTAAGAGTGAAGATATTGTGTCCACTTAGACGGTGCTTTGTCTTCTGGACAGTGGAGCTGACATCAACCGGCCCAACGTCTCTGGAGCCACGCCTCTTTACTTTGCCTGCAGGTGATCTTATTGTGATGTTGTAGATTTGTAGTGTTCTCTCAACCTCTCTGAAGGCATCGGGCATCATTAATTTGCATGTCGTTTTTTTGGTCGTTATACTCTCAAAGAGAAAGCTAGTTTTAGTGGTAAAAAGCAACATCCCCTTTTAGGCACCAGATGGCTAGTTTCCCACATCAATACCCATCAATCACGTTGTTTTCGATTTGAAAAGAAACACTACAGTGTAAAACAACATAAAGGCTACAAAGTCTATATATAACAGGCAAATTCGAATACTCTTTTTAAAAATTTTTTTGCAAATAAACATCAGTGTTGCCAATGCCATCAATTGTGTTATTGCAAACATATTTGCAGGCATGCTTTTGTGTTCCTTTAAGACACGCATATAAAAGCCTTCACAATTATGCATGTACATTTCTGCAACTGTAAGACTCATGTAAAAGTACCAAAGTAACCCAGAACACTACGGAGTCAAAAGTTATAAAATACCCATTGGAGCCATTACTGTGTCATTCTGTAGCCATGGCCAAAGAGACACAGCACAGATCCTGCTTTCTCGAGGTGCCAAGTACCTCTCTGACAAGAATGGAATCACTCCTCTGGATCTCTGTGTGCAGGTGAGGATCTTTATAGTTTTTCCTCTTAGTGTTGCTTGTCTCATGTGGTTACTGTCCCACCTGATGTGTGTTCAGGGTGGATATGGGGAGACCTGCGAGATCCTCATACAGCACCACGGTAGACTTTTCCAGTCCCTCATCCAAATGACACAAAATGATGATCTGAAAGAAAACATGGTACGACTGGTTTATCTCTGCATTCATTGATCAGCTCTGTGTATCCGCTTCTATTGATGTGTGTGTGTGTATGTGTATGTGTGTGTGTGTGTGTGTGTAGCTCAGGCAGGTTCTGGAGCATGTCTCTCAGCAGAGTGACAGTCATTTCCTCAGGATCTTGACCAGTCTTGCTGAAGTGGCTACCACTAATGGACACAAGCTTCTCAGGTATCATTTCACATATTTGCTTTCTTTTCCTTATTTCATTTTATACATGATCTTTTTTTCTGATTCATATTTTTATGAATAGCAATCACTGGGTGTTTCTGGAGTTCTCTTTATTTTTCATTGAGGTTCACATACAGAGAAATATCCATATGGCTGGGTCCCCAAAGAGGGCGTAGTAGTTGGATTCAGGAGTTCCTCAAAGTGTTCCTTCCACCGCCCAATAACTTCCTCAGTTGCAGTCAACAGGGTCCCATCCCTACTTTACACAGCTTGGATGGTTCCCCGTTTCCCCCTCCTGAGGTGCCGGATGGTCTTCCAGAAGCAGGCCCCCCCCCTGGTTCAGATCAGGGAGGCCATTCCTTGCAATCACGCCTCTCCAGTTCTCTCCATCGTCGCCCATGTGCACGTTGAAGTCTGCCAGTAGGACTATGGTGTCCCCTACCGAAGCCCCATGCAGGACTCCATTCAGGGTCTCCAAAAAGGCAGAATACTCCGAGCTGCTGTTTGGTGCATATGCACAGAAACACACTGAAACAAACAGTCGATCCAACTGATAACGCTCCCCCTCTCGCACAAGCTCCGGCTCCTTCCCCCCCAGAGAGGTTACGTTCCACGTCCCCAAAGCCCGCATTTGCCGACCAGGTCTGTTCCGTCTAGAGACCCCCACTGTCACTGCCACCCTTGTAGGGTCATCCCAATGAGGGAATACATCCGGAGAGAAGTAGCCTTCTATACAATCAGGCAGTGGAGTTGCCCGTTGGAGATAGTGCAGGTTCAGAAGAGCTGTGTTTAACATTGTGAACATTCTCCCTCTTTTGCTCTTTGTCCACCCTAAGCCTGTCTAGCAGTTATGAAGCTCAAATGAAGAGTCTACTGAGAATCATTCGTATTTTCTGCCATGTGTTCCGCCTGGGGCCTTCATCATCTAACAACGGCAACGACATGGGCTACAATGGAAACAAGACGCCTCGCAGCCAGGTCTTTAAGGTAAGCTGTGTCTTACAATCCGCTGCTGCTGTATTCTTAACCACTGCTCCAACGCCTACCGGTGTCGCCAGACCTCAGGTGTGCCCCGGAAATTTCCCCTTTATCCATCGCAAAGAATGTTCTAGACTGCTTGAATGAGTGTATGCTCTATGTTATTGGCACAGGTGTGAGATTAAACCAACCGAGAATAACCTGTTCAATTGAACTGTATGTCTAAACAAATGCACATTACTGTGACAATTTGATATATAAATCATGTCAATGCTTAATTCTGGGATGTTTTACCGTACGCACATTCCAAGGCCAAAATTTCGACGCTAATCAGATGAACTGTTATTTTTGTATTAAGCATTCTACTTACTCCAATACAATGGATTATTCATAAATCAAGGGTAACAACAATTGAGAATTAAATATAATAAACTTAAAATACAATGGCTGCCAAAAATGTTGAAGACAACAAGAATAAGGTTATTATCACTTAGACCAATGTATTTATCTATGTTGGCGAAGAGGAAATCCCATAGAAAAGTTTGTTAGTAAGAAAACGAACATGTTTGTTTTGGCCCTGTAGAAAGTCCTGCTCACTACATCTATTTACTCGTCTTTAGTGACCATTGTCATAAGTGACTATGAATACAAATGACCCCTTTTGACGTAACCCACGGCCTTGTGAGCCTCTAGCTGAACACTTGGATATCTGCTGCTTCTACGCCTGTTTGTGTAGCCTTTGAAAATGTGTATTGAAAGCCAGACTATAGTAACTGTGTGTTAGTTGCTGTGTTCATGGGAAGACAGTCTGCAACACGTCATAACTTGGTATCTTGATCATACTGACTTGACCTATGTCCTCTGAACTTAAACAGCAAAAATAAGAATTGAATCCATTGGTTGCAGATGTGTGCGAGACAGATGGAGGTGGAGACGGTACAAAAAGATGAATGTTCCTGGACAGGTTCTCCTGTCTTTGATGTGAGCCATGGACACTTTTATCATTTGCAGTTCACTCTGCAATCTCGTAATCATATTACTATTGTCATGGTAGCTGGGCGTTTACACTTAATCTCCCTCTGATTGAACATCTGAATGATTATTTACTCTGATATTTAATGTTCCAAATTCAAAATGATTATCACTGTGGTATGTTGCTGGGTAATTTAGGGTTGGGCAATACGGATCAAATTGTCTTTCTTGCTACTTTTATCATTGCAGTACATTGTATCATATTGTTATCTACTATACAGTATGTTCTAAAAGTGTATGCAATTCTGTGAATCTGCGTCAAGATGTGGATTTCTACGGAGATGTTACTGTTGACCATTTTGAATTCAATTTTTTTTACTATCTCTAAAAACACAATTTGATTCACATCTATTGTATTTCTGTGGATACAAAAGCTTTGATTTGATATATAATATTAAAATAGAGTAAAAACTTCATGCTGGTGCAAATGACAAGGTATCTTTGTGTATTTGTTCAGTTCATTGGTCTGAAGTCTGCTAAAGCAGTGGTTCTCAACTGGTCTGGCTGTGGGACCCTCCATCACAACATAGTGACAAGAGTGTAAATGAGTTGAGGTACACCGAGAATGGTAAAAATATCACAGAATAATTATATATATATTAGTGCTGTCAGTTAATTATTATTAACAACGTTAACGCAAACCCATTTTAACGGCGTCAATTTTTTTCTCGCGAGATTAACGTTTGTTGTTTTTAGCTTTACATGTTGTGAGGAGCAGTCCTACACATTTCACTCACAAAACATGTAGAAAAAAAGAACAAATCGAGCACTTCAGCATACCAACATATGATCGTATATAAAATCGATTTACATCACCATGTAAATCGATTTTTTCAGGTAAATAATTACCTAGTACATAGTACATGCACATGCAAACCCTAACCCACCTGAAATGTGCACTTTGTTTTGTGCCGCCCTGTTTGGCAATGTTGTTTTTCAATAAATAAAACATTTGCATAAAGCAAGCCAATCCACTTTTCCATGTTAATAAGAGCATTAAAATGAAAAAAAATAGAAGAAAAAAATAAATGAAGGGACTTTTAGAATAGATACAAAGTTGCAATTAATTGTGATTGATTGAGTTAACTATGACATAAATGTGATTTAAATATTTTATTCATTTGACAGCACTAATATATATATATTTTTTAAATCAATTTCTTTTGGCCCAGGATAAAACTGCCCCACTGAAATCGGGCTCCACGACCCACCAGTTGAGAAACACTCTGCTAAAGCCTCCTGTGAAGCTCCTCTTGTAGTGTTTCCGTGGAGGACCTCCTTTGTTGGCCCTTTGACTATGTGGTTCTCACTTCCTGTCTGTGTCTCTACAGCCATTGGAGCTGTTGTGGCACTCTCTGGATGAATGGCTGGTGCTCATCTCCACAGAGCTGGAGAGGAACAGGAAGAACCCGTCTTCCTCCTCCCCCAGCAGTGAGATAGCCTCTTTGCTTCTCAAGCAACGGGAGGGGGACCATTCTGGCTCCAAGCCAAAGCTGCACTCCTTGCTAGACCCCGAAGCCGGCGTGGAAACGGAGGTGTATGCCGATGGGGAGGACGTCATCTCCATGACAGCCAGTCGGCTCAGTGCTGTGATTCAGGCCTTTTATATGTGCTGCTCCTGTCAGATGCCACAAGGGTCTGTGCTCATTCTTCAGCTGTAAATCAAACAGACATTATTAGGGTCCTCCCTACGACTAGTCGTAGAGGAACCTATTGTATTTGTAGGAATTATTATGATTTTTCTTCTGTATGTTTTTTGGGGGCTTTATCCTATACCAAAAGTTGTTCAGTTTGTTGCGCTTATCAAGAAATTCAATATTTTTGGGGTCTCGCATTTGTGTAAAAAGAATCGTCTTATATAAAGCTTGTTCATATCTCATTGTTTTTAGAAGATATGGACCAATTAACTTCAAGGGGTATGTAAAGACCCATAACTTACAAATGACTTTGCCTGCCCGCACCAAATTTGTCGAGATTGCATTCCTAAACATCCTAATTATTTTATAATATTTGAACGCTAGGAGGCTCAATAGCTGCATTTTATGGAGTTGATAAAGATTTAACTCCTGCCCGAGATTAAACCTGATTCTCTTTCGGGCAGTGTAATCTGCCCAAATCAGTGTAAACCGTTGCCTTTAAAAATCATATAACGATAGAAAAAACGTTGAACTATGTGTGCGCACAGCATTGGCAAAAGTCGTTTTAACTCAGCCATACATTATCTGATCTGCTCCATGTTTCTCATGTGTCATGACCCCCGTCCCCTGTAGACATCCATAAGATAATTTTGAATCCTAGTCATAGCGCCTCCTAGTGCCAACAGAAAGTTACATATTTTTTTACTTTGCACCCTGCTCCTCGCAGATTAATCAGATCCCTCTCAAATGTTGCCAGAAAAGATCTAAGACCATGATAATGTTAAAGATAAAGTTTGCAAAGCGTCTTTTCCGGCTTACGGACGCTTTGTCTGGCGGATGCAGGTATTTTTGCCGGCGTTTAGCCATCCGACCACTGCCTCAACTTGCGTGTCTACATTGTTCTGTACTACTACTACTACTGCGACTTTTTACATGCCCTGCTACTACTTTCCAGAGACCACCAGTTAAAGTAAAGTATTAGTTTATTTCCGACAGTGTAAAACCCCATAACTGCTCCTTCTTCTGCACACCATATACATTTAGACTATTCTATTTGATCTTTTGGAATTTTAAAACACAGGCTGTTTTTCAGATGATGTGGCTTCTGAATCACTGCCCCCAAGCGCTTAAACGCCCTTTCTTACCTCACCCAGAATGACATCCCCTCGCTTCATTGAGTTTGTCTGCAAGCATGGCGAGGTGCTCAAGTGTTTTGTAACCAGGTGAGTCCTTGTGGCCCTCGCCCATTCTTCCCCCTCTCTCTACTTTTTCCTCTTCGTTCTCTCACATACTCCTGTTCTTCCTGCCCTCCTCGCTTTCAGGAACCCAAAGATCATCTTTAACCACTTCCATTTCCTACTGGAGTGTCCAGAGTTGATGTCACGCTTTATGCACATTATCAAGGCCCAGGTAAGTTGGGATGATTTTTTTCAGTAAAGGGACTGAATGTGGAACGCACGCCTGAGAGCTAAATCCAGTGTGGCATAAAATGTGGTCTGAAGTAACCAAAAGGGTATGCTTTAAGAATGTGAATTATATCTTCATATTTATGTGGATTTGAATTTTTCTTTTAGTTTGAATGGTTGGCTACAACTGCGACACAGTAAAATATGAACCAGGGGCATTTTATTGCAGAGCTATGGCAAACTGTAAGTAGTCACCGAGCCACCGGGGGTCGACGGTGGCGCATGGAGCAGAGAGGGTGCGCCGGGAACCACAAGGTTGGCGGTTCGACCCCCGGCTGCTTCATGTCCCATGTCGAGCTGTCCCTGAGCAAGACACCTAAACCCTGATTGCTCCCCAGGCAAAAATGTGGGTTAATAAAAAAATCCAATGTAAGTCACTTTGGATAAAAGTGTCAGCTAAATGACCTGTAACCGATCCAGGTATGACAATGGTGCGGAGAGAGTCATCAATGTAGATGTAGGGTAATATAGCAGTCAACAAAATATACTCCCCCCTCCCCCCCTCCGTCTCTCCCCCCTCCTTCCATTCATGCAATTACCCACCTGCTTTGTGAATTATTTTGGTGTTCATATGAAAAATGCTGACACATCGTTTGGAGGGCTGAAAGAACCAAGTGTGAAAAACCTAATATTGGAAATATAAATGCAGTTGTGATCTCATAATCTAAAGTAATAGTTTATAGTAGTAGTTTTAAGTAATTAATTTAGAAATTCAGTAATCTACTTGGTGTCTACGTCAGCCTGCTACTTTTTTTTATTAACTTTTGATTTATAAAATTTGACAAGGTTTAGGAAAATAGTCCACATGCTTTCCTGTTGCATACGGTCACTTTTCAAATAGCCCCAAATCGCTGAAAGGAAATTCTTCGAAGCAGTACAAAATGCAACGATAATAATAATAATAGTCAATCTTGAAAATGAAAGGAAGATGTAATATGCATTATTGAATGTGAAACTTCCACCGAAAGTCCACTGCCATTTATTAGCTCCAAACTAAGTAAAATACACACAATTTAACCGCATACTGTTTATGTTTGTGCCTTCCTGTACTTCACAGCAAGTCACTTTGATAGTCCTGTCTTCACTTCAGGATCATTTCACAATGTTCCAGCCATGGCAATAACACTTGTCTTGAATTATATGTATATGGTGTCATCAACTTGAAGTGCCGCTTCCTTACCTTTCTGTATTCATAATGAGCTGCAGCAGTGGAGCCTCATTCCCCTTGAATTATAGCTCGCCTCGGAGGAGGCCCTTGCTTTAATTAGCGACTTTTACCTGGTGAATTCGATTTTGTCTCTCAGCTGGGCCCAGTGGCAACGCCTTTTGCTCTCTTTCCCTATTCTCCCTCCAACGCTTAGGGAACAAAGGCATATTTTATGCAAATCTATATTACGGATAAGTATTTCAGACTGCATTATTAGGTTCCAAAGCCATTAGTTCTGAGAGTAGAAAACCCAAGAAAGTGGTAATTGGTTTAAAAAAGGTCTGTGAGTGTGGGATGAAGCTTAGTTTCCTCTGTCAGCCCTTCAAGGATCGCTGTGAGTGGTTCTATGAGCACCTGCTGGCTGGGCAGCCAGATTCCGACATGGTTCATCGTCCGGTCAACGAGAACGACATCCTGCTCATCCACAGAGGTACATGAACACAGGAAGTGCGTGGGCCTGTGTGAGTATCACACCACAATCCCTTCAAAGACTGGCTTTTCAAATGCACAAACACAATTCTTCCACAGATGCATTCGTCGCTCCTGGCTGACAGCATAGCACTGTTTGCTAAAGGAAATACATGTCATATGTTGCTAATTTCTGTGTAAAAGAAATGTGTCACACTGGTCCATATCCCCTTAATGCCATATCTTTGATCTCACTAACAGATACCATATTCAGGAGTAGCTGTGAGATGGTTTCCAAGTCCAGCAATGAGAAACTAAAACAGGGCATTGCTGTTCGCTTCCATGGAGAGGAGGGAATGGTGGGTCTCTATACTCCTGAGTTGTTAGGAATAAATGGTCTGTTTGAGTTGTAAGCTCATGGCGCAGCAGCACTTGTGTACAATGAAAGCCACGGCAGTGAGCCGTGTTGAATGTGTATGTTACAGGGCCAGGGGGTGGTTCGGGAGTGGTTTGACATCCTGTCCAATGAGATAATCAACCCTGACTATGCTCTGTTCACTCAGTCAGCTGATGGTACGGGCCTTTTACTTACTTTAGCATTTAACTAGCAGAACTTCATCATGTGGAACAATGGTGTGTTGATATGTCTGTGATCTACAGGTACAACTTTCCAACCTAACAGCAACTCCTCGGTGAATCCAGATCATCTAAACTACTTTCAGTTTGCGGGTCACATTCTGGGTTTGGCTCTGTACCACCGACAGCTGGTCAACATCTACTTCACCCGCTCCTTCTACAAACACATTCTGGGTAAGAGTTGTGTGTTGGTTGATAATGATATCAATAATAATATATAGGATCATTTGCGTCCACCCCTTAAAATTAAAATATTCAGCAATGCAAAAGAACTCATCTGAGACCAACTGGAATGCACACGTGATGTCATGCAACATTGACTAATAACACAGCGACACGCGACTGTAGGAGAACCATCTCAGAAATGATGGAATGTATCACCAGGCATCCCGGTGAACTACCAAGACGTGTCGTCCATTGATCCGGAGTACGCCAAGAACCTGCAGTGGATACTGGACAACGATATCAGTGATCTGGGTCTGGAGCTCACCTTCTCCGTAGAGACGGACGTGTTCGGGGCCATGGAGGAAGTGCCGCTCAAACCCGGAGGGACCAGCATCCTGGTAACCCAGGACAACAAGGTCAGAGGCATAAGGTCTCGCGGTGTCAACATAACGCGACAATTATTGTGATTGGTGAAAGGGCAAATTCACGCTTTATTTGACGTGTTCCTTGAATAGTTTCTTAATGCACTGTCCTCCTAAAAAAAACTATACCGGTAGTTTGTTTCCTAATTCAAGGTAAAGCTGAGTCGAACCCATTAGAACAGTCTTCCTCATATTGGAGCGACAGTTGTTTTTTAGCGTGTGAATTAATTCAATTAAAAACATTAGATTCTGCTTAACAAAATTGTCAATGTTACAACCAGAAAAAATGAATACCAGGTTGGCAAACCGCAGCTCTAAGTTTCTTCTGAGCATTTGACAAATTTGGGCACATTTGTTCTGGAGGTATTCTTTCTCTTTTAATGTTCCAGGGAATGTAGTTTGCTTCTCAGTCCGACTTCATATTTACCCGGCATGAATATCAATTGTCTATCAATCAATCAATTCAATCAAAATGAAGTTATCAATTAACTATTCTTTTTTTAAAGATTCCAGCCAGACAGATGGAATAATTCTGTCTCTTTCTGCGTGCGTGCGTGCGTGCGTGCGTGTGTGTCCTCACAGGCCGAATATGTCCAGCTGGTGACTGAGCTGAGGATGACACGAGCCATCCAGCCTCAGATAAACGGCTTCCTGCAAGGATTCCACACCTTTATCCTTCCCTCACTCATCCAGCTTTTTGACGAATACGAATTGGTTAGTTGTCCTCCTCCAATCTCCTTGTCTTCTCATCCATTATGTGCTGCTGCTACTCCCATCACACTGTAATCTGCTGCTTTCAGCGCTGTATGTGCATCTAGAGTTTAAAGGATAAGGATATTGTCAAAACAATAGTCAAACCCCCACACACACACACACACACTAGCTGTGGAAGTGTCTCAGGAGTGTAGCTACCAGTAATGCTGCTGGAGGCTTCACTTCACTGCATGCTTTTCTATTCTGATCGGGTCTGTGCATGTGCAACTTGCAATGTGGCTCACACATCAGCTAAGACCTGAAAAAAAGTTGGATTCAATGTTATTAATTAAGACTTTTTTCAACATGTCGAATATGGTGGAGTGACATTTCACACGTTAACTGCGTGTTATTTCCCTGATTCACTTAGTTCTCGACAGCACCTCTCTCTCTCTTTATTAACTCTATACCTGGCTTGACCATCCCTGCATTGTCTCTGAGCTGAGGAGTAGCCATCTTTGCATAATGTGCTCATAATGAAAGCACAGAGAAGCTCAAACTACAACCTGCACAAAGCATTGCTCCGCTATATCTTCATATCAATGCTCTGAAATTCAAATCAGGAACAAATAAAAGACGGGCATTCATGACAATATTTAGTGTGTCTGACCCACAATAAACACCGTTTCTTAGTCAATTTCATTACAAAAGTTCCGTGCTTCTCCTCTATTTCAGTCACAGCTTTCCTGGTCTCTGATAAGCTCACATATATATAGTATATATATATATATATATATGTATATATAGTCCATTATATTTATGGAACTATAAACAAACCAAACTGAGCAGATATTCGAACTTACCTAACCAAATGGAACAAAAGAAGACCAAACGACCTAACTGAAAAAACAGTTCAACAAAATGGACTCGTCTGAAGTGACGACCTATGGTGGGACCAGTACGATGCAGTGAGCTCTGTGCCGCCCCCCCCTTCTCTCCTCGGCAGCACAGCACCGCCTTTTGGAAGCTGCCCAGAAACCAGGAGAGCCGGCCTGCCTCAGTGTTTAGTGGCCATGGGGGGAGGTGATCGAGCTGCACTTAAAGAGAAACCTTCTTTCCTAAGTGGCTGGCAACTAAACACAAACTATGTCTCAATTCGGTGGGCTGCATGCTTGTAGGACCCAGCCCAGGTCTACAGCGAAGGCTACAAGGCCTACAAGATTGCAGCCCACTGAATCAACCGCATAGGCTGAACCGAGCGGCCTCTGAAATGAGACAGTCTGGACTACGGGGGGACTTCCTGCTTGCGTCATCAGCTTTACCTCCACTGCTCCCGTTGCCTAGCAACCTGCTGCGCTTGACAGTGAAGGCCTTAAAATCCCAAAAACCTAAAGTACAGATATATAAGGTAATCATCGTATTTGATTTAATTTAGGAAGATTTGCTTCACCTTCCATTGATATATGCCTGATTTATTTCAGGCTGATAGAAGAACATTACTATTTTAAATTCAAATTAAGTAGGCCATCTACTTTCAGCTAGAATCAATTTGCTGCAGAATCAATACTGCAGCAAACAAATGTATTAACTTCTTGCATAGTGACTGTAAGATATTACAGAATATGTCCAAGCTACAGTAGCTGAATGTCCTCACACACATCGTTCTCCTTCAGCTTGATGCATCTTCCTCTTGGCTCCATGAAACCCAACAAACTGTAAAGTTAGTTTATAATCACACTAATAAACAAATGAAGCAAAGCAAGTTGTGTTTCCTAGGATTTATTCAACATTTGTAACGTTACTGACTTAGAAAGTGATATTTCAGCTTCATAACTTTTAACACTCACTTTGATCCATTTCTGTTCATAATATGAAGTACAAACTATCTATAAAAATGTCAACCTCAATGGGATGTTACAAAACAAAACGTGTGGAAGTTTAGTCATTAAAGTGACTCTTCACTAATTACTACAAGCAGACGTGTGTTAACATCACAGCGTTTCCCGGTAATTGAGCTGCTCGTTGTGTATGTTATAAACATCAAAAACACAACTCAGTCAGGGAGGTGCACAACATTTATGTTCATGTTATTTATCTTATGACACTCAGTCAGTCATAAATAAGTCATAACGCAGAGGTGGAAATTTGGGTGGATAACTAAAAAAAACTGTTGTGTGTGCAGGAGCTCCTGCTGTCAGGGATGCCAGAAATCGACGTGCAGGATTGGTGCAGGAACACCGAGTACACCAGTGGCTATGACCCTCAGGAGGCGGTCATCCAGGTGGGACTCCTCCAGAACCACACATTCATGACTCACTAGCATCATCCATTATGTTCACCTCGTCATCCAAACCACGGGCGTTTACCAAGTCATGCTGCGAATTGTAAATGTCAGAAAGGGAAGTTATCACAAGTGCTGATGCAAAGAGGGATGCGATATGTCTATTTTCAGTAGAGATTATATTCCCAGTCTGACAGCAGGTAAGACATCTGGTCGCCTGCTTTCTTTAGTCTTTTCCAAATGGAATTAATCTTTACCACTACGTGTTTCCACACATATTACTTATAGAGAAAGCGTTGCATATTTAAAGGTCACCCATTTTCCAAAATGCACCTTTTCATGCCTCTCTAATGAAACCCACGTCAGAAAAGAACCTCCTCCCTCTCGGGAGATGGAGGGTGAAAGAAAGAGCCAACTGGAAGTAGGGTCTGTTGTTGTTGACATTTGGTGCCGTGTGTCCTATGGGTTTACTGGTGAAACAGTCGGACCATCCTCAGCTTGACAGGAAAACAATTGCCAAGCCTACTCCAAGGTTTTCATCTTCGGAGCAGGAATATATAGTTTGTAATAACCAACTATATATATATATATATATACCTGCTGGTAAGATAAACATGCTAAAACAGGGGGGGCTCTGGGCAAAACCCAAGTGCTGGTAGTCAACCCCGGATGTAGACCATCATCTTTGGCACCAGAAGATTTCAAACACACTAAGTGAAAGAGCACAGACTCTCTGTCGTTCTAAGGTAGCACATTATTGCATTATTTTTTGAGCAGTGTATTTCGTGAGCATAGAACATGTTCAGTCAGTCATCTGCTATAACCTTTATCCTCAAAGGGTTGTGGAGTCCATCACAGCTAACACAGTGCTATAGACTGGGTACGTCCTGACACCGAGACAACCATTCACTCTCCCATTCACACACCAACTGGCAGTTTTAGAGTCTAACCTACATCATGTCTTTGGACCCGGGTACAAGTACACAGAAAGATGCTGAGTGGGTTTGAACTCAGGACCTGTGAGGCAATAATGCTAACCACCCCCCCACCCCCCCAGTGGTGTTCAGTGATCAAATCTTACTTACAGTGAAACTACCCTGTTGAAAATAACAAATATCTTGAAATTATGATAATGATGTTGAAAAACACTTAACTGTCCAGAAAAAGTCAACAGTACAAGGACATATACTAGGCACAGTGAGATTCATGTCACTTGGAAACATCTGCTTCCTGGACAAAGCAAACCAGCTCTCTGATTGTGTTATCTGTCATCTAACATGATCCATTTGTTCTGCAGTGGTTCTGGGAAGTGGTGAAAAGTCTGTCCCAGGAGGAACGGGTTCTTCTACTCCAGTTTGTCACTGGAAGGTTTGTCGGTCTGATTTTGTACTAAGGATCTTGAAATATACAAAAATTGTCCATAAATGAGTAATGAAGTCTCCCTCAGTTCCAGGGTTCCACATGGTGGCTTTGCCTACTTGATGGGGGGCAGTGGTTTACAGAAGTTCACCGTTGCTGCAGTACCATACACCTCCAACCTACTGCCTACCTCTAGTACCTGGTAATGATCATTTCTCTGTCCGGCTCTTTTTATCTCATTATTATTATTACATTTCAAAAAGGAACTTCTTTCATAGAACTGCTAAAATCCTCATGAAAAAAAGATTAATTTCAAGTAGATATTCTTTATATATTTACCAGTACTGGGTAACAATTAAAATATTTAATAGTACTGGGTAAAAATTAAAATGTTTAATTGCAATATATCAAATTTATCAAACCCAAGGCCCGCAGGCCAAATCCAGCCCGCCGAGGGGTCTGGTGCGGATGACTTTGCCATTGTGAGAATTACAGAAAGACATAAATTGCATTTCTATAAAAGTAGCTGCTATTCCTAGAAAGTCCACTGGGGGGTCGTTCACCAATGCAATGCCGGTAGATTACCTGCCATTGAAGTCACGTCAGGTCACCACGCATGCGTGGTTGCTTCTGACAGACGATAGACTCGTGTTTTTTTTTAATCTGTGTATCGATTTGTTTTGCGTACCCGGTATACAGCGCTGTTGTTCTGTTCGGTTACCGCTACTGCTCGTAATTATTATTATTCAGGTGAACTGCCCGAGCGGAAGGGAGGGTAGATCGCCATGACTTTGGATTGAAGAGTTGATTGAAAAGTAGCTTGCGAGCCGAAGAGTGTAGGGACCCCTGCGTTAGACCTTTCCAACCACGGCGATACTCCAGGCAGCAGTGACCTTCTTGTAAATTACTGTGTCCCCCCGTCGACCGGACCATCCGCGAGGCACCCCCCTCCCGGACCACCCGCAACAACCCCCTATGATTTTCATGGTCTCGCCCACTTGAGACTTAAGTAGTATCTGGCCCAAACCTAAAATAAGTTTGACACCCCTGCTTTACATATTAGAAGTTTCTTGTAAATCTCCACTTAAACTTAATTCAATAAAAAAAAAAACTAACCACTGCCAGGAGGCATTAACGTTTCTCTCTATCTCTATAGTTATAAAAAGTTAATCTCCAAGATCATAACATTAAAACAGGCAAGTTGGCATTTACATTTTTTTTTTTTCCTGGAGCGGATGCCATCATTACCTGTTTCTTTTATCGGGGAGGAGCATCAACAAGCTATTGATCGATCAATAATCTACACTCAGTAGCAAATGTCCCTGTTAGAGTGAAGTGGCCCAGCAGTAAGTCCGGTCTTTTGCTGTCAAAAGCTTTCCAAGAAAACTGGATCACATCCTATTTTTCACAAAGGTACCTGGAAAACTTGTGTGGTTGTTGTGTTCGCAGCAAGTCTCCGTGCTCAAAGAATGTAATCTTCTATGAGACTCAACATAATGAAAAATGCAACCGCTCGCAAGGACAACCTAGAAAAGAGAAGATAAATGACCTGCCTGCAAGTCATTCAGAATGTCCCTTAAGAATATGGAAGTATATGAGTACAGACGTTTATTCATTTGTCTAATCGATCCAGTAATTACCTCTAAAAGCAGTGTTAATCCAGGAGATAGAGAGGCAGAAGCAAGTAGAATATAGTTTCTTTGTACTCGGCCTGGAGTTCTCAGAAGTTCTCACAGTTTGACAATTGAGATCAAATAAATAGAGAGACATACAAACCCAATACAAGTCACAATACACAGCTTTACAAATCTTACGAAACACTAGAGGGCAGTATGTCTTTTCAGTATCGTTGGGATTGGGTAGGGGAGTCCTTGTACGCTGATGGCAGCTTGAAAACAGGGAGAGTTCTCTTTCTGCTAGAATGAGCAACAGGTACTTCATATCGCAGCAGCTCTTTCTCCTGTGGACAGCGAGGAGTCATCCCTACTCTTCCAGCTCCATGAGTCGTCATGACCGCAACAGCTGATTGGGTTTTCTTTCCCTTCTCCACAGTATCAACATGCTGAAACTCCCAGAATATCCAAGCCAGGAGGTCCTGAGAGACCGGCTGCTGGTGGCGCTGCATTGTGGGAGCTATGGTTACACCATGGCGTAGTATCAGTCCCTGCTGTTGTGAGAGTTTGCAGACCCATGCAACACTCCCTCCTCCACTCACGCACTTCATGTAGCCATTCGCTGCTTTTGCTGGACAAAAAAGGGAAATCCACAACACAATGACTGGAGACCCCAGGTTCTGAGTCTTCATACCTGTGTGGCAACTTCTACTCCTTAGATTGACGTGATATCTGGTCATGTATGCAAAAAATAATTGAATATCTTCTCATTTGAAATTGAATTAAAAGAAAAAAAACGCATTTACCATGTACCACCCAAAGCGCTTTTACATGTCATCAATTCAGTTAGTTCTGTATAGCGCTGTCTAACCAAACTTTAGCCAGACATACTGTATAGTCACTGTACTATATGACAAAAGTTTGTGTACAACTTTAGATGCAAGTGATGCAAGAGGGATGATCATGTCATCTCAAAGCATAGCCCTTTGGCTGCAGGGATGTGGAGCTGGGGTTCTGTATGTATGTATGTATGTAACAATAACATATCTAGCACAAAGTGGGTCAATCATTTATGTTCTTGTATTAAAATGTAACACCATTGGAACTATAAAGCCTTAACCTAGGGTATTAGACCGAGATCAAAAGACCTTGATGTAGGCAATCATCTTTGGCACCACAAGATTGTAAAGATTGAAGCAACACCTTGATAATCAGATGACCCACAACATGTACCTCTGTGTGAAAGCGAACAGACTTTGTGACGTCTACTACTGACTAAGGTGAAACGTTATTGCAGTCAGAAATAATTTCACATGACGTTCTCAAACAAGACCAAAGTGGTCGATTAGACCAGAGTATTCAACCAAGAATGGGCCCACTGTTTGAAGTTCATTCTCCCCTCGGCCACTTCTGCACCAATATGTTGCATCTTCAAAGAACATGACCATTATTAAAAACAGTAACGTGAAACTCCACTAAAGAAACAGCGTACCTGCTCACATCCAAAATGAAGGCACATAAAATAAACCTGAGAGCCCAATATGATCCGAATACTAACGCACAAAATACACTGCCCAACAATGAGGTCAACAGAGATGGGTAATTTAGCTTAAACAAGTGGTATTAGACCCTGCACACACATTTCTCTGACAATAAATATTCATTATTTGAATTGAAAATCCTTGCCATTTGTATATTATAAAACTAAATAGAACTGGCTGAGTTGTATTAGAATACCCCTGATATAGATATTTGACCATCAAATGACAGTAATGATATTGATAGAAAACACAATTTAAAAGAATACCAAATAATGCCCACTGGCTATCAGGAGAAAAATATATTTTTAAATTTTTACCAAAATGAATGCACAATTTAGAATGGACACAGAAGATACATTTATATGGATTTCTTAGCAAAAATCGTCTTTCATTTTGAATGTACTGTATTTTAACTTGACTCATCCCACTGTGAAGGAGCGTGTGTTTGGCAATGCTCTAGGTGTTTGATGGATTGTATGGCTGACGTTTTGTATACATAGCTGTAAGACCATGGCCATCCCTGTTTTTATTTTTGTATTTTGCTGTCTGATCTACTTTCTCCTGGTTATTAGACTTTCATGAGGAGCAATACAATATGTCTTTGTGTTGGCTCGCAGTGCCAAAAGACCAAATCTGAATACCTTTTTAAAAAGAGAAATTAAAATGACAATAACCTATTCTTCTAGAGCAGGGGTCTTCAACGTTTTTCAGGCCAAGGTCCCCCAGACTGATGGCGAGATGCAGCAGGGACCCCCTGTTCTCCATCTTTTATCTTTTATCCGCCCTCTTTAGACATGAGCATGAATGGATCTGATTGGCTGGTGCCTGTGATGTCCTATCAGCTTGAGAGCTGCTGTGGGACTGAAAGACAACGTCTCCATTAATTTATCCGTTTCTACAATATGTTGGATTCATGTTAATGTGTATTTAAAGACAATAAATACAATTCTGATTCTCAAGACATTTCAATTCGTGGAAAGAAAATTGGTTGACATTTTTTTTTTTTATAATAAAAAATTCGCGACCCCCTGCAGTACCTCCGCGGACCCTGTTCCGCACCGAACCCTGAAGACCTCTGTTCTAGAGAGAAAAACCATGGCATGACGTTTTCCTTCTTTCCATTTACAAAAGGGATTTTACACGTTGACTCAATATTTCATACTATCCATTTGTGTTGTTTTGAGGACGTTGCCTGAAATGCTTTTGTAAACTGCTCTTAAAGTTGATTAAACATGGGTATTTATATATTTTGGTAAATGTCTACAGTCAAATTGTGCTTTGTTGTGGACAATTCTGGTGATTTGGTAATGTTCCTGTGGTCTGCAGTGGAAAACATGGCTCATGTTTGTGCAGGAATAAAGAAGGAGCCATTGGGAGTGAAAAGAAGATAGAAGGAGAAGATGTGCAGCCCTCAGGTGTGTTTGCTATTGGATCTGCATGTCCATACATCTGTTTTGCAATGGCATTGTAGGCTACATCCAGATTTGTAGCCCACAGTGCACATCCATGTCCATTCTTGAGAGTGTACGGAGACCTACTCATTTTTTAACCACACCCTCGACCTGGTTCTGGTGTATGGTAGAACATTTAACACTCCACAGAACCCTCTTGTCGGACCATTGTCTAGTAACAGGGTTCGTACGGTCAGGAAAAACCTGGAATTTTGGTCATTTCCAGGCCTGGAAAAAAATAAAATCCTCTGCAGTTTGGAAAAATCATGGAAATGTGTTATATTTATACTTTCATGTGGTTCATTTAAGATGATGCTCTCGTGCCCCATGCAGTTCTTCTGTGTTGCACCTGCTGCCTTCATGACATCACTCAATCGAGACACACAAGGAGCGTCAATCCAACATAAATGCTTTCAATATACGGTGCATCCGGAAAGTATTCACAGTGCTTCACTTTTTCCACATTTTGTTATGTTACAGCCTTATTCCAAAATGGATTAAATTCATTATTTTCCTCAACATTCTACACACAACAACCCATAATGGACAAAGTAAAAACTGTTTTTTGCAAATTTTTGCAAATCTTAAGAAATAAATAACGAAAACTTGTACATAAGTATTCACAGCCTTTGCCATGACACTCAAAATTTAGCTCAGGTGCATCCTGTTTCCACTGATCATCCTTCAGATGTTTCTACAACTTGAATGGAGTCCACCTGTGCTAAATATATTTTTAGTAAATTTATAATTTACTCAGAAAACACTGCATAAACGTCTATTGTTATCCAGACAATACTGTTGTTATAATTGTATCTGTCAATCAAGCCAGACAAGACCGGCCAGCTTGTTCGACATCAAGAATGTCTCAGCGACATCCAAAACTGGGATGACTAGCCACTTTGAAGTTTGAGGTTATCTTTGATAAGCCCCAGAGCACCTTCTGAAGTCAGCTGCCTCGTGATATAGTTTCTCTTCTCTGCTCTGCTATCCAGCAGCTGGCTGAAAACACTGCTTTTTTCAACTAGGTAAATATATTTTACAATCAGGCACTTCCTTTCTGTTGTACAAAAATACATTACCACAATGTGACAAGACATTGAGGGGCGTCACACTCAATTCAATTCATTTTGTATAACCACAAATCTGCCTATAGCAGCTTATCTAAGGGCTGCCTAGGCTGACCTGAGCCAGCCCTTACTGTAAGGGTTACCAAAGAGGAGTCTTAAGCGTAGCCTTAAATAACACACGTGTTATTTAACGTGTTCCCCTGTTCAAGAGAAAAAGAGGAACAGGTTTGCCAAAATCCAACAGCTGGCCTTACAGATATTTTCGATATATCAGCATGTCTAATTAGCCCTGCCGCTCTGCATGCTCACAGACAAAAGAAGGTCTAGTTGGTACACAGGAACCCTAACCAACCCTGTTCGTCCTGTCGAACCGATGTCATTCCCATGCAGAAGGTACCCGATAAGCTTTGCAGCCAACTCTGCTACTCGTGGTTCCTCTCCCACACAAACACTTTCCACTCCTGTTAAAGTAGAAAGTAACATTTTATTCTCAATTGAGGGTGAGGGGCAGAAAATGCCTCAGGTTTTTTATGCATAGAAGCTCCGCTTCCTTTGCCTCTGGTCTTAAAGGAGAGGTCAGGATTATGATCGGGGTCAACCTCCTTGTTTTTTTCCTGCCTCACAGCATTATGAAAGGGTTATAAAATCAAAGTGCAGATTAACTACTCTATAAAGTGTGTGTGGATTTTCACTCACCCTGGCCTTGCTTTCTTTTGCTTGCCAGTCATGAATACACATTAGTGCCATTCGTTCAACGGGTTTCTGGTTCAAAACAATAATTATGTTTTTGTATATGACCTCTGTCCACCTCTGTTTGACATTGGCTCTGATGTTGCAACTTGTGTAGTAAGCTGTATTGCTTTTTCAAACAACCACACTTGCCTCCACCCCTCATCTGTTAAGCCTGGGCTCTGGATGTCTTTATTAGTGCTGCAGGCAAGTGATATGCCATATTGATCTCACTGCCCCTTTTTTCCAGCTTCATGTTGAGAATTTACATACTCCATAGACCTTTGAGACCTTTGCTGTCCTTTCTCCCATGTGATTGGCAGAGGTCCAGCTTAAATGTGGTTTATTTTTGCTTGTTATTAAACTTTCAACATTCTACAGGTGGAGTCCATTCTTTTGGTAATGACCTTTTTACTACTTGAATGTAACTTGAGTCAGAGCTTTCTTTTGAAATTGAGAGAAAATAAGAAATGAAGACACGAGATGCTCTCGACAGGAATAGACCGGAATAATACCCGCTTCCGGGTAACACTTTTCCTGCCACTCCCAGAGCTTTGGGCAAGATAAAAACAAAATTGATGGCTTTAATGGTAATGAAACACACGCTGGAAATGGGCTCAAGATGGGCTTGAGAGAAATTGAGCATGTGAATTTTGTTGAAATGCATCTGTTTTTGTCTTATTTCCACTTACTTTGTATTTTTGTTCATGACGCTTTCATCAGTCACTGACAGTAAAAGTAAAATATGCTGATGACTTTTCTGAGGTGCAAGGAGTTTTTGGCAGTCTCAGGAGTTTTGTGCTGATCGTTTACCATGCGAAGTGATTACACGGCAACTGGCCCTATGTTATCTTAGCAAAGCAGTCGCCAGTCTGTTGTAAATAGCTCTCAACTTATCTGGGCAGCACAGTGACTCGGAAAGGAGTAATTGGATAATTAATTTAGTCCTGGACAGGTCAAGCAGATTTTAGTCTTGTCTGCCTTTTTGTGGCTCACATGGTCTTATGGACAGGTGATTGATGTGTGCAAAAGGGTCATTAAAAGGCGACATCTGCCTCTCATCCTCCAAACAAAGCATAGTGGGAAACCCGTGGTTCCCAAACTTTTCTGTCGAGCCACCCTTTGATGATTTATGAACATTGACAGCCCCTCCCCGCCCGTCCCCCACCACCCACCTCATACCTCGTTTTGAATCAATTGTATCGTTTTTAGTAGGGCTGTCAATATATTAAAAAATAAATCCACATTTTGAAATTCATTAATATCGATTAATGAACGTTATTAATGTACAATGTCTTTTTAATGAATGTTTGTTTTTCTTCTGTTGTGTTCAAAATGAAGAAACTCCGGACAGACAAAGGACATCGGGGATCGAAAAGTTATAATCAAAAGAATATAATAACTTTGTAGTGCAACGCTTATTCTTTTAACACCTCGATAATATTATTCTATTGATTAAAGTTTCAAAATTACAGTGGCTTTACAATATTCTCATTACTTTATTGATTGCATAGTTACAGAATCATGGCTGTATTCTGGTTTACACTAAATGCATTTTATTAATTTATGAACCGGGTCGTCAGTTTATTTCTAATATCCTACACTTCCAAAAGACTAAATCTTAAAAGTAATGAGTAATCACTTTAGAAAGCTTGTATTTTATACACTGTTGTTTAATTGTTAATGTTATTTTAAACACAACTACACAAATTTGATCATCTTGTCAGAATTCCACCGGGTGGAACATGTTGAACTAGCGAGTCTTCCTGCTGTCTACGTGCACTTTGCTCTCAACTCTCCATAATTTAACGGCTGTGTTTGAAGTGCCAATCTCCACACATTTAGCCAGGACGTTTACAAACCACGGTCTTTTAGGGACCCACT